TTAGATTTGTTGTCATTCATCCACACATCATAATTCTGACCTGAAACAGAGAACCGATTCAGCACCCGCAGAGGTTTAATTTGTTATGAGAACATAGAGGACTTTGTGACCCTACAGATTTAACTTGTTCCAGTCACCATTTATTTCACGGATAGTCTTTGGTCATTTGGATTTCAGCTTCTCTTTCTTACGAACCAACCAAGTCCAATGTCCTGCCTACCAGGCTATCGCTGTCCAGTGCTGCAGTACAAATTATATACACCAATCTAACTTCGAAAAACTCGGATGAAATATATTTGACTGATAAGCAATTTACATTCCCAATAGTATAGCACAGAAAACTAGATACAACATATTATAATGTTTTATTATTCAATATCTTAGTTAATGTCAATTTCACTTTTTGAAAACTTCGTCATGAAACCCCTCCAATGGTCCATTTTATTGATTTTCTGATAATTCTATGTGCATCATGCCGATTGCAGTTTTCTGATTGTTAACTTAGCCATCTAGCAGTGAAAAATTCGTATCCTTGTTGACACTAGGGCTAAATTTACGCAATTACGACGACTCAATTAAGCCCGTCAGATGCCTGCATTTTTGTAAAAATATAGCATCTTGTTATATGTAGAAATACAGGCTTTTGATTGACATAATTTGTCAATGGTAATTGCGAAAATTTAGCTGTTCATTCAGTTGTGCACTATACCATTAGTAGTACATTCCTATACAATTGAAACGAAGCGAAGAGGGAAGGGAAAAGGGCCAAACACATGAAACTGGTATCTCCCCAGATGGCGTATTCGAGCGTAGCGATCGCCACGCCAATATCGATATCTCCTCGATTTTGGCGGTGAATCCGAGTTGCAAGCTTCGTTTGTTGGTAAACGAAGACAAATCTCGATATCCAAACCTACTCGAGGTTTGCACCTGCTTGCGAACCTGCACCAAACTTGTGAGAGGCAATATTTTCAGAAATAATTTTGTTAGTATAAATAAATAATATAATTTCTAAACTCATGTCTGCTGCATTTCATAAGATTTTAGTGATAATAAGTTATTTTTATGAGTTTGAAGAGAAAATTTGTTTTAGTCATTTATTCATATGTTAAAAAAGGCTATATGTAGGGTGACCAGACGTCCCCGATTTCCGGGGATTGTCCCCGGCGAGGACCTCGTGTCCCCGGTCGGTTTGCGTCCCCGGTTTTGTCCCCGGTTATAAAATTGAAAAATTTTGTTTAAAATATTTGATAAAAATATGTTATATGTAATTTTTATTTTCTCAAAAATTTTCATACAAATTAATGTAAGAATTGAAAATTAAATGTAAACTAGTTTTTAAGAACACACTATAACTTATACTACAGAAATTTTGGAACACGTAACTTTAATATCTAGTAATGTTTACATTTTTACTAGGCTGTACGCCAGATATGTTTACATACGAAAAGAAGTTTAAAACAGGATGTAGCATGAATATTAGTTGCTGCTTTTAAAACAATTAATATCTTGAGTTACATAAACTGCCAATATTAGCTAATTTCCACTAAAAACAACAACAATTACTACATTTCCGTTTTATTTTAGAAAAATAACTAAAGCATTTTATAATCAGGTAAACGTTATATAAATATCCAACCAATAAAGTATAAAACCATTTTTTATTGAAATTGTTATTATTACCACTTACGACTAATTAATTTTTATAAATTCTAATTATTCTACATTTTGAAAACCTCATAATTTGTTATCGTAATAGATATTTAGAAAAATATTTATATTGCTTTAAAATAGATGTCAATAAGGCAACAGAAAAAAGAAAAAGAAAATGCCATTATTTGGATGATTGGAAAAACGAGTTTCCATTTATTGAAGCGGATCCTGATAATTCTTCCAAAGTAAAATGTACAATGTGTGGAGCAACGTTTTCAGTTGGAAGTGGAGGACGAACAGCTGTAGCAGATCACATTCTTACAATTAAACACAAAGAAGCTTTGGCAGCAAAAGCAAAAACGAAATCCGTCAAAAAGTTTTTTAGTAAGCCATCCAAACTTAGCAATATATGAAGGAACGCTTGCATTTGACACCATTCGTCACAACCAATCGTTTCGCAGCATGGACTGTACTTCAAATTTACAGAAGAAATTTGTAGACAAGAAATTTTCTTGTGCCCGAACAAAATGCGAAGCTATCGCTGTCAATGTTTTTTCTCCGTGGGCATTTCTTGAATTGAAGAAAGATTTACAGTCTGTTCAATTTGTAACAATATCTTACGATACTTCCAATCACAATCATGTAAAATTACTCCCTATTTTAGTGCGGTATTTTCAGCGGGACTGTGCTAAAGATCTAATTAATAATAAACTTGTATCACTAAACTAAATTAAAGGAGAAACTGCAAAGATTTTATTATCAGAAATATTAAACGCACTATTCGAGTTCCAATTGAAGGATAAAATGGCTGGTTTGTCTGCGGATTATACTAACACTAATTTTGGAGGATTGTTAAGAAGAGGAACAGAAAATGTTCATACTAAACTTCAAACTGAGTTAGGAAGAGATATTTTTGGTTTTGGGTGTAATGCGCATATTATACATAATGGCGCTAAAACTGCTTTTGATTGTTTGCCTGTAGATATTGAAGTTATGGTATCGAAACTTTTTAGTTATTTTAAAATTTACACAGTCCGAATTAAAAGACTGAAAGAATTTTGTGAGTATGCTGACCCAGAATATCATCAAATTTTAGGACACGTTCATGTTAGGTGGTTGACATTACTTCCTGCTGTAGAAAGAATTCCTAAAATTTATTCATTTCTTAAAAAATTTATGTTGTCTGAAAAAAAAAACGCCCCAAAATCTTGAAGAATTATTTTGAGAGTGAAACAACCGAGTTATGGTTGTTTTTTGCGCATTCGCATGCTGCAATTTTTAATCAAAGCATCTTGAAAATTGAAAGCGATGACAAATGTGTTATTGTATCTGGGGCGGTTGTCAAGGATTTGATATTTAAATTGAAAGCACGAAAGAATGCCAAATTTGTTCCACTTGTTGTAAAACCTGAATTGACTAAATTGATTGCTGAGAATATCATTATTGAAGATTCTTATTTAGAAACGTCGAAAGAATTCTATGAAACTGCGATTTCATTTTTAGAAGCTTGGAACGATAACAACGATGATATGTCTGAATTGAAGTGCCTTCTTTCAGATTGTAAGCCTTCACGGTCTGAATTCGACGAGGCAGTTCTGTCCCTCTCTTCAAAATGCGCAATTTGTAATGTTAATTCCGACGATTTGTTTGACGAGTTGGTTATTTGGTTACTTGAAGGTTATTTGGATTCAAAAGACGATAAATGGTACCAATCCGTTCACATAACAGACAAATGGCGCGAAATAAACAATTATTTTCAAAAAAACAATATACCATTTACAATTTCAAAAGAATTGTTGAGCATGAGCTTGCTATGTGCTGGCCAAGCAGCAATGCGCCTGTAGAACGGGTATTTTCGCGCATAAATAACTATTGGACTAAAGAAAAATCGCGAATGGATTTGAATACAGTGGAAGCGGTTTTATCTGTACTGATTAATTTTGATTTTTCATGTGACATATTTTCTCAATTACTCGAAAAAAATCTCGAAATTTTAAAGAAGATTCATTCTTCAGAAAAATACGGTGTTTAGAAATACAGTGGAAAGTCGCGTATCCGGAATCGGCGGGACTTTCCGAAGTCCGGATAATCGATTTTTCCGTATAATAGACCCCCAAGGTAAACAGAGATTAAAATGATCTGAATCTAAGAAGCAGAAATTAAATAACATTATTTTTCGGGCAATAATGTTTTAGTATTAGAATGATATCTAATCAATCAAAAACAAAATTTTTAAAAAAAAATAATTATTGCTATTATAAAAATAAATATAGGAAACTAAAAAAATGTACAGTTATGAAAATATTAATTGCTCTCT